ACATGCATCAAAACATTGTTTTCTAGTTGGAGCCGCGCCTCGTTTTCAAACTGTATGGTTTGACTAAAATGAACAATGACAGCAATATAGTCCACGATGAGCAGCGCTAAAATCAACCTGCGTAGTTGTCCCTCCACTGTGACATTAGAAAGTGTCACATTTATCTTGCAAGTGTACTCTTCTTCAACGTTTACTTTACTTCCTGGATTTTTCCCACATGGAAATTCTGACCAATCAAGAGCAGCTTTCTCACACAAGGCATTTGATCTGGTCCGCTTGTAAATGCTGCCGTGAGAACACGAACCAACTCTAGGCAATTATACAACTTTGGAACAAAATTACTCCAATCCTCCTTGTTTCTCACATCAGGTACCTGATCACCGAGGGACAGACCTTCATCCTCTTCATCTTCACCTTCTTCGCCATGACCGCCACAGTGATGCACCAGAGGAGGCGGGGCATGGTTCCCGACGGCAACGGCCTCTTCATGCTCTACAGGTACGCTGGAACAGGTGCACCGGCTGCCCTGATGATGTTATACTGTATCTCTGGAACATTCTGACTGCATCTAACTTTTTGATTCATATTTAAAGCTGCACGGTGACTCTGCACTCCAGCAGGTGTACAAAGTCTGAAGTAAAGTTGTGTTTCTGTGGTGGATAGTTTCTCTGCAGCTCTTTTCCTGGTGGCGCTCTGGGTGGCCTGTCTGTGGAGCGACGGTGTCCTGAGGAAGAAGCACCCCGGGCTTATCTACATCCCACAGCCTCGTGCCGTATACACACTCCACATCCGTCAGGGCACCCAGACGTAACAGAAGTGCTCATTTAAAAAAACACTTTCTCCAATAGACATTCAACCTTCGCTCTGTCAGTGAGTCAATGTGTCACTTTAATCTGACCACATGCAGGTGGAACCAGACGCTCTGTTCTGTAGCTACCAAGTTTTGAGGGGACAGATAATGGATTTTCTCTGCTCTGGTTGAAACTTTCAAATGTTGTAATGGCAAAAAAAAACATTAAGGTTGTGATCAGAGAAGGACAGAAATGTCTCAGACCACTCGAGGCTGTCCAAGTGTAACTTAAACATTTTCAAACTTTTATGCCAAGCTTAGAAAAACTTAGTAAAAAAAAAAAAAAAAAAAAGTAAAATGTGAAGTGAGTCTCAGTCTCAGGGTGGATTTTACTAACAATGATGTTAATTCAAGAGGACCTATTATGCTCAATTTCAAGTTCACACTTTTATTTTGGGTATTTCTAGAATATGTTTATGCCAAATAACACTGTGTTTTTGTCAATGTGTTTGTGTTGGAACACCTGTATTCACCTTCTGTCTGAGATTCTTTGTTTTAGCACCTGTCTCTTTCAGAACCCCTCCTGAATAAAAAAAAAACCCAAAACAAAATAATCTGCTCTGATTGGTCAGTGTTTCTGGGTCTCCCACATCTAAGTAGCCCCTTTTACACTGTCTCTTCAAAGTGGGAATATCAAACCATAATGCCACCTCGCCGTTCTGTATATAAGGTATGATCAGGGAATGGAGGACAGAGTTGTCTGGCCTCTGAGCCGTGAACAGAGGTAGTAACAATGCCAAAATGATGTCTGTATAAATGGGACAGCCAGCAGGACGGGATCATGGGCTGCACAGGTGTAGTGTTTTCATGACGGATCATGTGTGTGACCAACCATGGGAGATTTAAAGAGTAGGTGGTAGCAGTTAGCAGCTAACTCAAAGACGAACAACAGCGGCCACAAATTGAAAACAATGAAGTCCAGGAGCTCCTTACCCTCTGAGCAGGGGACGAGATCAGCTGTCATATAACAGAGACAGTAAATGGTTGTTATTGTCATCTTATGCTGATGTTGTTGTTTAAAACAAGCAGCTGTTGCACTAGAGGCCGGGTCCATGTCATTGGTCCGACAGCCCGTTGGTCCGACATCCAATTAGTCAGACTGTCCACGGTGCTGAACGGCTCCCGGCGGGTGTATTTCTGCCTTGATGGTGCGCCGCGACCGGCTCTGGGTCAGCTGGGAAAGGCTTGAGGCGGAGCAGGCTCACGGCTTATGTGTTTGTCACTTTCTTTTTCATTTTAACCCACACCATGATCTTTTCCTGACCCTAACCAAGTGGTTTTTGTGCCTAAACCAAACCAGACCTTAACCACAGGGCATCATGATGATTTCGGAACGAACTTCAGAAGAATGGGTTTAATATGGTCGGAACAAAGGGCTGTCGGAACAATGGGCTGTCGGACCAATGGGCAGTTCCCTAGAGGCCGACACTGCTGAATTACACGTCATGCCCATCGCGCCCCTTTTCATTATGCAATGCCAAGATGCAGTCTGTAATCACACACAGGATCCAGAATGATGTTGCAGGGGCCCATTAGGTAGGGGGTCCATAGAGAGTGTTGTTGGAGGGCCCACTCTCTCTAGAGCAGAGAATGGGCCCTTGCTAGTGATTCAATTCGCCACCTCAGAAATACACCTGTGTTTACAGAAGAACTCACATTAAAATAAAAATGCTGTCATCTGCTATATATGCCCTCGAGAAAGGCAAACGCATCTCCATCAATGTCTCTTTTTATCTTTTGTGAAATAGTCAGTGGCAATCTATAACAAAAGTTTATGGCCCCTTTTACAGAAACTATAAAAACTATAAATAAACCTAATTTAATGAATAATTTCTCATTTTATTTGGTATTTTTGTCATATATAGATTCGTAGTGATGATTGCTCAGTAATATGTATACTGATGTTGTCCAACATCAAGTCTGTATGTGTCAATACTGTAAAACATAGGGTTAGCTGTTTCGACGCAAAATCTGGTGCTGGGGCCCATCCTAGCTACCGTACACCACTGCGTTTGGTTCTGTGTTAAAATGCAAAGGTGTCATGAAGAAGGGACTCCATAGCTGCTCTATAGCAAAGCCTGTATAACAAAGCCTAGAGTCTCTACACTGTCATTGCAGCCAGAGAATGACTGTAACAAAGGACAGCAGCACTTTCTACTGCAAAATCACCAATAAAAGCTTCTAAACACAACCGGACATGTTCCAGCAGGAATATGATCCAAAATCATCAGCGACCATGTTTCCCTGATGTTAGCATGTAGCTACATGTAGCAATATATGTACTGTAAACACTTGCAGATGGACATATAAAGAAATCCATCATGATCTGACATAGAAAAACAGAGGATTCAGGACAGTTCAGACACCTGAGGTTTTTACTCCTTTTTACTTTGACCACCTTTAATCTGACAAAGTTTTGTGTGACATGATGACATCTTAAAAAAGTGGTATAAGCCAAAGTTCAGTTCAGAACTTATTGTCCCACTGAGACAATGCCCTGATAGATATGGACACTAACGTTACAGGAGGGGTCAGGAACACTCACACCCACTCAGTGTTGTGTTAATGAACCGCAAACAGTCTGTTTTATTGGAGCAGGGTGTGGAGCTCCAACTGACCCTTGATGAAAGTAAAAGCCTTGAGGGGTGAACTGTCTGTGATTAACAGCATACAAGTTTCTCCCATGATGGTTGTAAAGGTTTAAATGTCGGTATTTCAAATCAACTTTTCAAGTTCTTCACTTCTTCACTTGCTAACATCAGCTTCTACAAAATATTTCTGTTGTTTGTGATTTTGACCCTTTCTACTCACCTCCTCTCTTTTCTCTTTCTATTCAGTTCATCTATTCCAAATGTGTTTATTGTCTGTTCTTTTCTTTTGAATATTTTCAAGGCCATAGTTTCTTTTGAGGACTTTATATAAACATGTTGAAACACCTTTATTTGTTAACATGTGCTCACAGCTCAATATTAAAGCTTGCCCACACCAGCATTCAAAGCGGCCAAACTGCAGTGAGCTGGAAAAGAAAGATTCTTTGTCAGTCCACACAATTCAGTTTTACACAAGGCAATTAAAATTTAACTCTTTACATATCCATCTTTTCACACGCACACATGCATTCTCATTCTTTCTTGGTACCTTAAAATGAGTCATTCGGGTCCTTGTCTGCAGAGATCGCGATGATGTACTGCCATGTTTCTACAATAGCTCGGATAAACCAAACACTGGCTCTAGGTAGTTACATTTGTGTTTATTTTTGTGTCAGGAAAAACACATTTATTTTAGTTAAGTTATCAAAGAAAAAAGGTGAGCACAGGTTAGCAGTCGTTGGGTGAGCAGCCCACCTCATACATACCAAACAGCGTAGGAAAAACATCATTTTTTAAAACATGAAACTGCTTTATTCACTGTTTGTACAAGTTTAAATCACCTGTTTCCTTTGCTTCAGAGAAGAAGAGACCTCTGTGGATAATTCAGCTCAAGGTAAAAACTTTGAACAATGAACACTGAAGGAATTCTAACCAGGAGAAGTTTCAGCTGGTTATATCTGCAATCATCACCATTAGATGCCACTAAATCTCCTAAATCTTACACACTGAATCTTTAAATCAGGCCAAATATAATTTTCCGGGGTAATCTTACTACAAAATGACGAAAACTCTGTCTGTCTGTGTGTCTGTTCCACATTTTTCTCCTCACTGACTTGGTCAATCCATGTGAAATTTGGCACAGTGGTAGAGGGTCATGGGAGGATGCCAATGAAGCAATATTACATCAATTGGCCAAAGGGGGGCGCTATAGCAACCGATTGAAATGTCAAACTTTGAATGGGCATATCTCATGCCCTGTATGTCGTAGAGACATGAAACTTTGCACAGAGTCATGAGGAACACATTTGCCTCAAGAACCCATAACTTCCGGTTATATAGATTTTCCACCATTTAGAATTTTTTGAAAAACACTTCAAATCGATCTCTTCCTAGGAAGTTTGAGCGATCTGCATGAAACTGGGTGAACATAATCTAGGGACCAATATCTAAAGTTCCCTCTTGGCAAAAGTTGGAAAACTTACTAAAACTGAGCTTCTATAAGGCAATGAATATTGCGGAGGGCGTGGCTCATCACATAAAGGTGTATAACATCTCAAGGGTTTCACCCATCACCACGCAACTTTGTAGGCATATGACCACACATAATCTGAGGGGACCCCTCCATTATTGACCCCATCAAACAAAATGGGGGGCGCTAGAGAGCTAATTTCTTATCTAGGCCTAACCACCATATGGATTTTTACTAAACTTGGTAGATATGTAGAACAGGACGCCTCAAGGTGACTGGAGAAATTTAACTCTAATTGGCAACTGGGTGGCGCTATAACAACAGAAAAATGCTTCAAAATGGCTAAAATGCGACCGATCGCTGTGGCTCCCCCTGTGGACCAATGTTTGGGTTTTTCCTAATTTTTGGTATGACTAAGTCATGGTATGGTATGCTGTACATAATCACGGAAACTGTCAGTGTGTCATTCTGTCAGTCAGTCATTCTGTCTGTCCCACGTTTTTCTACTCACTGACGTGGTCAATCTATGTGAAACTGCACATAGGCATTGAGGATTGGCATAGGTAGAAGGTGACAAAGCTACCAATGGGTATGGACTAGTATTAATAATACAATTTAGGCATATTTCTAATGATGCTGGATGGCAGGATTAATTATTTTACTTTGTGTGATTAGCACATTTAAATAGCATCAACATATGTCTTTGTTTGTTTGTTTGTTGACTGGTTGAATAACTCAGACATTTCTGATGATTTTCTGATGTTTTCATCCTATTTCCTGAAAAGCAAAAGTCTGCTTTGAGAAAATTGCTAAAGATATAAAATATTAATAAAATTTGAACAGCAAATCCTCCAGCAGATCTTTTCCTGCAGCACAACAGACCAAATTAAAACTGCTGAAATTCCACATGTTCGGCCCACTCATGAATATTTGTGGATTTTATCCTGCAGCTCTCCCGCAGGTCTGTTTAAACTGCAATGTATTTTTGTTTTACTGCATGTCCACAAGGCATCGCTGGTCTCAATAAAACTGAACTCATTAACTGAAGCGTGTGTGAAGTTCAGCTGTAGTTTGTTTCATTTACCCTCTGGCTCCTGCTGATATTTGTGTTTACCCTGTTTGCTGTTTTCTTGATGGTGAATGAAGCTGCTTTTTTCTGTGGAGGCGTGTGGAAAATGAGTCATTCACATGTTGGAGGGAATCACATATGGAACATTTAGGTTGATCCAATTCAGCCGTGCAGCATCTATTCATTACTGTACTCAATACTATGTCAGTAGAATACAGCTTTAAGCATGTACAGTGAGATCTCTACACCCACAGGAGCAGAAAATAGAGCAGTGTGTGGTGATGTGGAGGAAGGATACAACAACTTTTACTACTGTTGTCCTCTCCATCTACAGTGCATAGCTCAAACCCTATTTGTTTCACGATGACTGTTCCAAAAAGAGAGAATACAGCAGACTTGAGTAAAT